AGAATTAACTCATAGCACAACAACTAAAATGAAAACAGAATGGTGTCTCTTCCAGGATCAGCTAAAAATATTAGAACTTTTTTGCCTGGAAAGATAAAGTCAAGAGACTGAAATTCCCTTCATAAATATTGATTGATTGATTAACAGAAGTCTTTAAAATCCTATAATGCTAAAACCAGGAGGCTTCAGTTTTCCAACCAGCAAAATGAGAGAGTTATTCTAGATCTCTAGGATATTGTTCTTTGATTCTGCAGACAGGAAAGTGGAGCAGTTTGGGATACATCCTTAATCCTTTGAATTTGTTTTTGTGGTGGGCAACTTCCATTCTTGATCATGAAAGTATTTTGGTACCTTTGACAAGCTATGTTATTTTGAACAATTGGGTTTGAAACTCCAGCGCTTTAGGTGTATTTCCTTTTAAGTATTTTGCCTTTAATTAGAGTGTGCTCCTCTACCCTTTGATCCGGAGGTGTCTGGATTGCTTCCCATTTGGTTGAGAACAGGATTGTCATGTTTTTTTCTATCTTTTTAACCCATTCTTTTCCACCCCCCCAAAAAAACTCCACCCTCTATTAAAATAATTAAGCATAAATAATAACAACAAAGTAAGTTATTAAAGAATGCAAAGTTAAAAGTTGCTACCTAACTTTCCTACCATTTACTGCAGCATTGCTTTTCAACCAATATTTAAGTAGATTTAGATTGCTTTTACTCTGGGGTCAAAACCTCCCCAGGGTATGTGCCTCTCATAGTCAAAAGCTTGTGCCCTGCTAACGTGATGTAACTTAATAGACAATGGTTTTGCCATTACCACTCCTCTTCCTGGCTTTTTTGCTTCTTCAATTGCAGAAAGAGCAGTTTGGTATTTCACCCTTTTAAATAGCTGCATACAGGAAACTAGTTTGCTAGATGGGAGGGGGCAGGGTTGGATTAGGTTCCTTTTAGCACCAGATAAGTTGAGGTCCTGACTTGGCAGTATGTTATTGGGAGGAAATATTCAAAGTTTAATTATAATGGTCCTTACCTTGTACTGAATAAAGGAAAGTAATTTCTTTTTTAAATTGTTTTTGTATTTTAAAGTAACAATTATTTTTTATTAATCTGTCCCCCTTGTCTCTTCCATTGAATAAAAAAAAATCCCTCAATATGTCTCACATAATCTAGTAAAACAAATCCCTGTGTCTAAAAGTTCTTGTCTTTTTCTGCATCTGAAGTTTATCACCTTTCTGTCAGATGGGTAGTGGTGTGTTTCACCTTCATTCTTTTGACTTTGTGGTTTATCATGGCATTGATCAGAATTCTAAAGTTTTAAGGGTAATTTCTCACATGAAAATCCATTAAACGTTCTCCTCAGAGAAGCTTGATGACCTTTACATCTTTGCCTTTTTAACGTTGGTCATTTGCTTCTTCCCAGCCTCATCCATACCTCTTTTATGAACATTTCCTTTGAAACTTCTTGGGCATCTTTGACAGCTTATGTTTAGAAGAAATGTTCCCAGAACAGAGGGGCTCGTCTCTTCAGAACAAATTCTGTTTTATCCTAGAATATAACTTTTTAAGCTCATCTAAGTAGAGCTAGTCAAGATTTTTAAACAGAGCTATAAAATAGTTTCACTACATTGCCTATGTTAGAATAAAAGACTGGAGAAACCATTGCTCTGATATAGTATGGCATTTTTGATGTTATAATACTCTCATGTGTAATATGGTATGAACATTAGTAGGTTATTTCAAAGATCAAATGACATTATGTATGCATGCTTTGACACAAAGGCCATGTGAGAGTGAAGAACTATTAGTTATCGCTTAACTTGACCTTACTTAAAAGGGTTGGCCCTATAAGGAAAAGCTTGTGAAAGTAAACTGATCCATTCTAAGCACTTTGCTTACTAAGTGAATGATTGTTGGTAGGTACCTTTCAGTGGGCCTATATATACCTGACCATTGTTAGGCTCTCCCCAGCCACAGATAACTCAAAGATTACCCACATAAACATATTTCCTACAAAAATGCAACTCTTTAAGCCATTTGTATTTTGCTTAATATATACTTTATACTAAAATGTATCACATACAAGTTAGTGAAAAGTTCAAAGCAATATAATCCCTAAGTACAAGGTAAGTACTATTATAATTAAACTTTTAAAATTTTCTTCCTTAAAAACATACTACCAGGGAAGCTAGCTAGGTAGCGAAGTGGGTAGAGTTCAAATCTGGCTTCATACATTTAATATTTACTAGCTTTGTGACCCTGGGCAAGTCACTTAACCCCCATTTGAAGTAAACATATACATATATATATATATATATACACACACACATATAATATACATATATACATATATATGTTTAATATGAATGTATATGTAGAGCCTGTATTAGACTGCACACCATCTTGGGGAAGGGGAGAAAGTTTAAAACTCAAGTCTTATGGAAGTGAATGTTGAAAATTAAAAATAAATACATTTTTAAAAGCATACTACCAAGTCACAAACTCACAGGATCTAAAGCTAAAAAATGCTGGTTCCGAGAGCTTGTAAGTTGCCTATGGTTACATAGATAGTAATTAATGGAGCTGGGATATGAACCTAGGTTAAATACTGTGTTTCTCCCACACTAACTTCGATTACTAGTCAACTGTAAAAATGTTGCCTACAAGACTGTTAGGCTTTATTCTCAGCACCTGGTTGAAAATTACCACCTATTCTAGCCTGTTAACATTTGCATAGGGGATAGTTCTTTCCAGGATTTCTTAAAAGGTGCTCCATAAAAACCATTTGACATAACTGAGCAGTTTTTTTTTGTTTGTTTGTTTTTGGGTTTTTTTTGGGGGGGGGTTAAGTGACTTGCCCAGGATCACACAGCTAGTAAGTGTTATGTGTCTGAGGATGGATTTGAACTCAGGTACTCCTGAGTCCAGGGCCAGTACTCTATCCACTGCACCACCTAGCTGCCCCACTGAGCAGTTTTTTTACCAAAGTTAATAAGAGTTTCTTCCCCCCCCCACATATTGAGGGTTAAATAAAATAAGAGTGGTTTGTAGGTTTTCCAAAGGTACTGTATTCTTTACTTGCAAGAGAATTCTAATCCCAAAGCATTATTTCAAAGAGGATCTTCTAATGTCTCATTCCATTTGCACTGGTACCAGTTTGAGACCTAGCACCAGGAGCAGGATAATGACAGTGTGAAAACAGACATTTGTTTGGACATTGGGCCAGAGAACTTAGTCATAAGCCTTTACCTAGTCCTTTTATGTGATCTTTTTTTTTAAGGCAGTTGGGGTTTAAGTGACTTGCCCAGGGTCACACAGCTAGTAAGTGTCAAGTATTTGGTCTGAGACCAGATTTGAACTCAGGTTCTCCTGAGTTTAGGGCCTGTGCTCTATCCACTGTGCCACCTAGGTGCCCCCGTATGATCATCTTCTAAAGCAAATTTCAGCCACTCAGCTCAGAGAAATAGTGTTTTCCATTTGGTTCTCTGCTGGAAGATCAGGAGTATCAATTCAAAACTAAATTTCCTATGGGGTGGCTAGATGGTTCAGTGGATAGAGTACCAGGCCTGGAGTCGGGAAGATGAGTTTTCCCGAGTTCAAGTCTGGCCTCAGACCCTTACTAGTTGTGACCCTGAGTAAGCCACAGCCCTGTTTGTCTTAGTTTTCTCATCTATAAAATGAACTAGAGAAGGAAATGGCAAATCATTCCGATATCTGTGCCAAGAAAACCCCAAATGGGGTCATAAAGAGTCAGACGTGACTGAACAACAATGACATTCCCCTACGGGTACCAATTTGAACAGCTAGGAGCTCAGGGTATTTTGTATCTCATGTCACAATCCTCCCAGCTCAAAAAGAGTCTGTCAGGCAAATGGGCCCTAGCTATTGTTGAGTGCTTTATCTTTCAGGAAAGTATCCCTTTGCCACCTTAGTAAGCTCTCTTCTTTGAGACTCTTGAAACCCCACCTCCACTGTAAAAGCTTTTGCTGCTGCTTTGAAATGGAGAAATTCTCATCCGTTGTTCTTCTATCATTTACCTTCTCACTAATCCTGCTGCCTTTTTTCAGTCTTTCTGAATGTATATTGCATTATATTTTGCTCTGGGTCTTCATTATATGCCCCCCCAAACATTTTTTATGCTAATGTTTGCGCAAATAATTTTATTAAATGTTTTAATGTAAATATATTACCTTAACCTGAAGACAAGTCTTCTGAAAAATCTGGAACTATCCCTTTTGGTCAATTACCATCTTAAATGAAGATAGAACATAGAAAATTATCCAGATTTAACAGTATGATGGAACTAGAGAAGTGGAGGGGAATATATGACTAGCCCATTTATAAACTAACTTATCACTACAAAGATGACCTATGAAGCAGAACTCCTCTGTGGTTTAAACAGGGCTTCTTAAACTTTTTCCACTCATGACCCCTTTTTGAATTCCGGCAGCATTCATGTGCAGTGCAAAGTGTGAATGCTTTGTGTTCAGAACCACAGCTGCAGTGAAGTTGTACATGCAACACAGGCAAGTGCTGCCAGAAACACCTTGGTTTCATTACAAATTTGATTTTTAATTAATTTTTGGTCATTTCGCGTTCAGAAATTGTTTATTGTTGCCAAATATTTTGCTATCCCATATGGGATCTCAACCCACAATTTAAGAAGCGCTGTTTAATAGAAGGTCTTTAAGAATTTCTGTGTCCAAAAATTTGCTCCCCTGCAACCAGTCTGGCAATGAGCATCTCTGAACTTAAAGGCCTTAGACAAGGTATGCATTCAGTCACCAGGCCCACACTTGAAGTCCAGCCCAAGTTCTAACACTTATTTCACTCTTAAAACTCACTTGGGGAAGTAATTCATTTGTGAAACAAGGTTTGAAATGCAAATTAACTTATCTCCACCTTCTATTGTCTCTCTCAAACCATTTAACTTTGTATCCTTGTGCATCCATCTTTGTGACAAGGTTTGTAATGGGATTTTTATCTTTAAAATCTCTTCTCATTTCTAGGGGATGTGATCAGCCTTGGTGACAGACAGCTGACTGTTATGCACATGCCTGGTCACTCCAGGGGAAGCATCTGCTTACTCGACAAAGATCGGAAGATTCTGTTCAGTGGAGATGTTGTATATGATGGAGCAATGATTGACTGGCTTCCATACAGCCGAATCAGTGATTATGTTGTTACCTGTGAGCGTCTGATAGAATTGGTGGACAGTGGTGTGGTAGAGAAGGTGCTTCCTGGGCACTTCAACACCTTTGGAGCTGAAAGGCTGTATCGCTTGGCTTCCAACTATATTTCAAAAGCTGGCTTGTGTCACAAAGTTTCAACCTGTGCCATGAGATCTCTTGCAAGTTTAGCTCTGCGTTTAACCACCTCTAGGACCCCATCCTAGTTTGTATGTATTGGTTTATCATGTAATTGATACTTTTAAAACCAAGCAGTTTTGTGGTTAATATAATTGATTGTGATCATTTCAAGAAGTGCTTTCTCAATATTAAGGGGGAGGGGGGACAGATTTGAGAAGGAATAAGCCAAAAGAGGGAGATTTCTTATTTTAACTTATTTACTTTCCACCAAATAATTATAATAAGCCTCTGAAAGAAGCTAATAGCTTGCCAAAGCTGTTGCCTTTTAAATGTTTGTGGGTTTTTGTTTTGTTTTGTTTTTGGTCATTGAAACTGTGGGATGGTTGCATGGGGAAGGCATTTTGGAGAAAAGGAGAGTTATCCATACCTGCTTTTGGAAACTCTCATTTTATTTCTTATGTGCATTAAAGTAAGTTTTGTTTTGGGTTTGTTTTTTTTTGTGCCCCAACCCTGACATCTTCAGTATTATATTTAAATTGAAAGATGAAACTTCTTCAGTTTAAAATCCATTTGAACTCAATGTGAAACATATAATATATCTATCTATATGAAACTGAAACATTTCACTACTGTAGGGGCTGGATTCGTGTGTGCCATGATTTATTTATTCTTTGTGCAACTTATTAATGAAATAGTCACTGTCTGTGGTGTGTTTATTTTATTTATTTAAAAATAGCAAAGTGCATTTGGGTTTGATGCAAGGCTTTTATAAAACAAATGCTTCATTAAAAAGGCTGAAAACATTGTTACAGTGGAGGTGTTGTATTTTCCAAATAATGAAGTTTTAAAGTGTGCATATTTAACTGCAAATGTTTAGATTTCTTGAAAGGACACCGTCAGGTATACTTAAAAGTATATATGATTTGAAATGTGTTCCTTCTGGTCTGGAAGGAAAAGTGAAAACAGGTCTCTAGAGCATGTCTTTGGGCAACACTTCATATGAAATCAACTTTGTGACTCTTAAAAAATTTGTATAATCTTGAAACAAACAGATATTTTACTTGGTCCTTTGTCTTATGTTACATTAAAGTGCTTACCAAATTAATTTCAAGGTGTACGTTAGATAGTACTCTTTCCCTGATTCACAGAACTGATTCTTGTCCGATGGATTTTGAACCACCTATAACCTTTGGCTGAAATGGAAAGATCCCATTTTCACCATCTACTCTAAACAAAAGCTGGACTAGTATTTACTGATGAATATTGGTTTAGCATACGGGGAGCATGTGTGTGTGTCTGGAGAAATTTAAAAGAATTTTTGTGAACTGTTATTACTGCCTTTCTAGTCCTCGCATTTCTGAATTCAAACTGAGACAGTAAGATGAAACTCAGTTTTAGGAGTGCTGGAGGAGAGTTTCTGAAACAGTGTAAAACTTTCTCCTTCCCTAGAAATTCTCCATATTCATGCATTTAAACAGAATTTAAGCATCTACCATAAGCACAGCATATGTGTGCCAGGCAACATGGAGAAATGTAATGGGAGTTCAAGATGGGGTTCCTGCCCTCACAGAACTCATAACTGAGTTAGAGCAAACATACAACAGAGAGTAGGATAGCAATGCAAAGGTAAGGATAACAATTAGTATACATAAATACTGAGAAACAGAACAAGCAAGTAATGTTTATAGGGTGAGGTTAGCCAGATCTGGAAAGCTTATGAGGAGAGATGAATAATGAGCCAGATTTTGAAGGAAGGGATGGTTGTAGTTTGGTAAATTACTTTACATCAGACATCCCCTATTAAACAGGTGTAATAGAAAATTTTCGGTATATTCAATATTCCTGATTATTGGGGGAGTAATAAGAGGCAGTAATACTGCTTTATGGAAGAGCCTATAAAATGAATTTTTTTCTGCCCTGTTTTCCTGTAGCCATATGAATAATTAAAGGCAAGGAAATTAGAGGGTTCAAGGCTATATACAACTCTTATTGTGGTTTCCATGTTCTCACTAACCACCCACACAGAGCAATAATGCTCATAATCTGGAATCAAAGAAACCAGACAGTTGTGTGAGTACGTACAAATAAAGATTCTGTCTGTACTGTGGGATCTCTTCCAAGCTCAGCTCTTTGTGTAAGAAGGATCAAGTCCAAATCTAAATTGACCTTTCTTGCAATTGACTCTACAAATTAAAACTAAGTAATTTTGTAGTCTTTAAAAATAACTCAGTGTCATCAAAAAAATTTTAATATAAAAAAGTGAAGATATCATTGGACCTTTGTCCGAGTGATCGGTTTTTAAGACAGCTTTTCTGTTAGATTGGACTTTGAAGCTTATATATGAATATTAAAAATCTCAACATTGTATTAAGAATTATTGTGGTATTATTGGAGGCATCATGAACAAAATTATTAGATAGCTTTAGAGAGAGCTGATATTTTTACATTGGTCATAAAAATAGTAAACTCCAAACTCTTAAATTACTTAAGACCCTATTAGCTAATAGGGTCTGAAATAATGTATTATTTTCCCTTGAAGAATTAGAGGTTTTAGGTTTACACTTATTTGTAATGGGAATGTCCAATATTCTTTAGGGAGTGAGGGTGCTTATTTGGTAGAAGAATATAGTTTGAAAACATTTAAATTGATGTATTTTAAGCAACATTACTCAAGATTGTATTACTCTACTGCTGTTGAAACTTGTGAAAAGTCTGGCTAATGGCCAGCTCTGTGGAACAAACTTGACAGTGTATTTTTACTCTCCTTGATATGGAATGTGCCAAGAGTAAAACAGATGAAGAAACCCAAAGCATTTTCCTAATTTTTATTACTTTTTAATATGTATATTTTTCACCCTGACAGTGACCCTTTAATGTTGACATAATTTAATACTTTAAAAAAATGTTGAATTGTAAGTTGTAAAAATTGAAAATAATTAGAAATCACTCTACTCTTTAAATTGGTAGTGCTGTGTCTTTGGTAATCCAGTTTCTTTACTTTTTTTTCCATGTTAAAAAAAAAGCTAAAGAAACTTTGATCTCTTTTTTCCATCAACTGTAAACTATACATAATTGATGTTAAAGTAAAAGTGTTAATCATCTTTGTTCTTGGATGTAATCTGAATGTAATATTCTCAGACTGTCTGCTTGTAGTTTTCAGATGAGTGTAATTTAAAGCATATAATAAATATTTAAAGGGATATAGTATTTCCTTGAAATTCAGTGAGTGATTCTATGCTTGATATTTTAAAAATACACCTAGGTTTAACATTTCTTTGTATCAATATTTTTTTGAATTTTACCTTTTTTAATATTCAAGCAATATTTTTTAAAAAACCTGATGATAAAGTTGATAACCTTAAAAGGTATTCTTAAGCCTACTTAAAAGTTTATTCTGAACTTATAGGGGAAAAATAACATTTTTATAAATAATCAGGTTATATAATAAAAATAAGCCTTCAAGATGAATGACCATAACACATTCTAAATACTTTTGTTTGTAAAACCCTATCTTGGGTATTCTCTCAGTTTACAACTATAGGCTAGGTCCCCAGAGAGGCCACTAGTAACATCACAGGGCTAACATGGGTGCCTGCTCCTGCTGGTATGCTTCCCATTAGCAGCGGAGGTGCACCAACATATCCAAGTAGTGCCCAACTACCTTTTCCATATGCCTTTGACAGGAGGTATTCATGCCTCTAAGATGTCTTGAGGCATAAAATCAAACTGGTAAAATCAAGCTGAGACAACGAAAGCTATCTTTGTCTTATTTTGCTATTGGATCCAGTAGCAACTTCTGTTTAAATCCAAAACTGAGGATCACTGACTGACTTGTAGGCAGTCCAGCACATCTGGAACTCTTGGCATGGTGTACCGGTCCACTTAAATTCTCTTGTTCAAAATCTGGTTGGCCATGCACTTTGAATCTTCCCAGTCTTATTTTGTACCAGTGATACAATTACTGCATACAGATTGCTGTATTCTCTGATGATACTATTGTGCAGTTCCTTCAGATGGTTTCTGAGATCTTTCACATATAGGGAATCTCTTGGAGTTAGTAAATTGGATTTTCTTACATCCCACTCTTGCTGCAAGAACACCTTTGTCTTCCAATTAACTTTTCCTTCTACTGGGCCTTGTATTCTTCAGACACTGGTGAGTCACCAAAATAAAATTTCTCTGGATTTGTCCCTGAGTTTAATAAAACTACCTTGATGGTGTTTACTGCCACCACCTAGTACTATTTTCCTGTATGATTCTGCATTGAGTTGTATGGGGTGCTCAGGGAGGACTAGCACCCCTGGTATGAGAGATTACCAAGCCCTTTCTGGGGCTGCTCATCCATCTTTGGTGTTCATCTGTCACTCAGATCCCAAAGTGGCTTCAAAAAGCTGTAGCAGGCACAGCAGCCGCACCCCAGTAAAACTGTTTTAGCCAAGCTAAATCAGGCTGAGGATAACAAATAGGCCTCAGTAGGCCTCAGACCCATCAGTGAGGTAGGGGAGATGTCTACTCCAAGCATGTGAAGACTTCCCCAGTGAGAATGGCTGGATGAGAACAGTTTGTTTCAATGGCCATGAAGGTAGCTGAAGCAGGCACTGTGTAGTGCTTAGACATTGTTCAGACATTGAAGATGCCATACCAGGCTATTGCCAGTCATCTTGATTTTTGTCTTGCCACTGAACTTTGATGACTTTGTGCAACTCTGCCTAACTTAAATCCAATTCACACATAAGTGAAGACATCACCTGTGATGTCATTGGTCCTCTTAGAAAGTAAAGGGTGAACAACATGATACTGCATAAGCTGAATGAATGTCCAAAATATTTACTGAGTTCCGGCTTGTTGATCACAATATGCTGCTAGGATCTTGAATAGACTAAAGTTTATCTTACTCAAAACTAACATTCTTGAGCTTTCTCTGAGTTTAGATATATCAAAGCCAAGGTATCCACTTCACTGTCTTCCTCGACTTAATTAGCAGGTTTTAATCTAACTATAATGTAGAGCCAAAGGTTACCAAAGTGAGTGATACCAACCACCTGGAGAGCGCTAGACCAATCCAAGGGGATGGTAGTAGCCTTGGGTGCAGTTGGGAGGCGCTGAATAAAAATAAGGGGGTGGTGGAAGTATAAGGAAAGAAGAGTAGATAAAATTTTGAAAAACAGTTTGTACATATTTCATCTGTAGTGTAACAGAGTTAAGGTCATAGTGATTACATTATTTTCTAAATAAACACACAAAATGCAAGTTATAATTGATCAGTGGTTAAGTCTGCCAACAGGTCTTAACAAGCAAATGTAGGCAGGTGAGTTGTGTCGAGCTTTGTTGGAAATAACAGCATGCATCAGCAGAAATACGTGCATGTAATGACTTGTTTACAATACAATACTATATGGTTACATGACACAATATTGCATCATCAATTTCAATGCAACAAAAAACCCACATATTTACAATAATTAAATTTAAGATGAGTCATTATTAAAAATACATATTTTTGAAATGATGCAAATTTTTTAATAAAAAGGTTAAGGAAAGTAGATTTCCAAGGGGGCACTGAGTAATTTTTTAAAAAGGGGATGGTAGGCCAAGTAAGTTTGGAAACCTCTTAGTTAGGCCAAGTATGGATAGGCTTTTATCACTAAATCTCTTGAATCCTTTAAGTTCTAACCCTTTTGTAGGCTGCAATGGATTTTTCCTCATGTATCCCTTGTAGAAAGATGGGGGGTACAGTGTTCCCCTGGATCCACTGCCCAGTACAGTAGTGTATTTCACATAATCTTTACTGTCACTTCTATGTGGGGTTCTATAAGTTCAAGTGGATGGACTGACACTTGACTTGCTGATGAAGTGACCTCAATCTCCAGCCGAATGTCAGTGCTGGTTCCGTAATTCAGCCTTGTGAACATCAATTCTGCATTCTTGGGAGCACACAGCTCTCATGTCTATCGAATTCAAAATGTTGCAGAAGATAGCTCTATGGTGTCCTTGTATCAGATGTAGTTATAACCTTTGGTCCTTTTACCTCTAAGTTCTTCCAATGGAACAATGCTCTCTGTGGTTCCACCTTTTGGCAGACTTTCTAAAGGATCTTGACCTTGAAGATGAGTCATCAGAGTTGTTCTCTTGCCTGGTTTCTATGGCCCACACATAGAAAAATGTTCTGGATCTATATTGAGTTTTCACAATTTGGATCATACCTTGCCACTTGGAAACCGTACTCAAACTGAATTACTGTTTCCAGCAGCTGATTGAAATCTGGTGCCTGGTTGTTTGCACTAAAAACTAATTACCTTTTAGGGGCATACCATACGTCCATGTACTTTCTTAGTCTAGCCTCATCTGCTTCAGATTTTATTACTCCTCTATTAATCTCTGTAGTTTACTGTCTACCTGAATTAACAAATTCAAAGGACTTTCCCCTTGCCTCTGCATGGCAAACTTAATGAACTTAAGCATGTGCTTACTATAGTATATCACCACCACCAAATTGTCTTTTTAGTGTCTGCAAGCATCCCTGCTATGCAACTTCAGAATTTATATTTTTATACTGTTCACAATTTTACAAGCAGTGCATTTGATTTGCTAGCAGTCTAACTTTTATTTTTCTCATTTCAAGTATGTGCTAGTGTTGTAGTGCTTTGGTTCTGTTTTTGAACCAGATATCCCGTATTTTTTCCCCAGGGAAAGGAACCTGGGTCCTTTCCTGGGAAGAGCCTTAACTTGGGCCTGTGGTTCCACTGTGATGCAATACCATCAATGGCTGCCCCTGGCCCTTCAAATGAATGTGTTTTCCCCCCCTTCCAGGTATCCATAATTGATCTCCAGATATTTCTTTATTAGCAGTGTTTTAACCCTATACAGTATCCTTTCATCCTCAATAAGAGGCCAATTTCCAAGTCCTTTTCTGGAACTCGTAACAGGAATTTAGGAGGGTCTACATTCTCAGGCAACTTAGAAAACAGACTGCTTTCTCATATCACTTTCTCCTTAAGTGATTTTATGAGATGCTTTTGATACTTTGAGAAGTTATGCTATGTTCATATAGGACAACCTACAGATGTAAGTATATATTCATGTAGCACAACTCCTCAAAATATCAAAAGCATTTCACCAGATGTTTTTCAGTGTCCTTATCTTTTAAGTCATTCAACACACCTTTAACTAGGAATCCTCTGTCTGGATGTAAGTACATTGCTAATCAGTGGTCTAGGAATGCTATATCCACATTGCTCACAATAAACTCCATATATATGCAATGGATGCAGTAATATAATAGATATTGGTACTTAAGTATTAAAACAAGAAAGAGTTAAAAGGAATTGGTCAGACTTAAGAGGAAACATGGGAAAATTGATTGTCTAATCACATTATAAAATAAAAGAAAAAAAATTAGTGGATTCCTGCCAAACCAGGACATCCAAGAAGGAAAGTCCTAGGTGAAGAATCTCTCCAGTGGTTCCCTACAAATGTAAAGGACACCCAAATATATTCCAGACTGTCTTCATAGTGTAACCCCTCTCTGCATCTACTTCCTAAACTTATATTTGCAGTTTGGGTACCCAAAGGCTATTGACGACTTCATTGATTTCTAGGAGTAAGCCAGTGGCTGGCTACTCCTAACATGGTGGCTTCTGAGACCCCACTGGTATGCTTCTTATTAACAATCAGTCAGGTGGCTAAATTAGCTTTTAGCAAAGGCCTTCACTAAAATGGTATAGTATAGTATAGTATAGTATAGTATAGTATAGTATAGTATAGTATAGTATAGTATAGTATAGTATAGTATAGTATTCTCTCTCTGTAAGCCCTGGATACATATCACAAATTCCATATCCATAGAAAGAATAGGCTCAAACAGTACAATGGTAATCTTTTACCATGGTAAAGAGTAACTTAGAACTTCTGGCTCTTCAGGGCCTAAAAGTCCTTTCTTCATAAAATTCTCATGCAACTTACATCTTGGAATGGTGTCAGTGCTGAGTGATTTTTTTTTTCCACTGCTAGGTTAGGCTGTCTTCTCACAGCAATTCCCTTGGTTTCCCTCCCAATAGACACCTGCAGCTTTGGGCTCAGCTGCATTCCTTGGCTGGGGTATTTCAAAAAGAACTGAGATTCAGCCTAGAATAGGCAGAAAGAAGCCTCTTGAGTTCTACTCCCTAAGGCCTTGGCTTTGAGGCTTGCCATATTCCAGGAAATAGGTG